AAGAGGTAGAACAAGAGTGAATTATCAATAATAATAATGGTAACAATACAATTTTTTTCTAACAAAATAGTACTAATAATAATTATATTATTATTGTAAAAACGAAAATATAAGAAGTGGCAGAGTAAATTATATCTTAAAATAATTTTAATCAAATTTATGTAAAAATGTCGCACTAACATCCCTTCATTTTATCAATGATTAATATAATATAAAAAAAAATTACAATATCAATGCCTTAAAATCAAATGTTAAGATAATAAAATAAATATTACAAATAGTACAATAGTTAAAATAAATTGTGTAATTTAAAAACACCAAAAAAAAAACTAACTATTATTTATCATTTCAATATCTTATCCAATAGAAAGATAAAAAAAAATTTATCTAATATAAAAAAAAATTATCTCATAAATCAAAAAGATATAAACCAAAGAAAGTATATTAAAATGAAAATTGAATAAATAATTTAAAATTAAAAAAAAAACTGTAGAAAATCTTTTATATTTTGTTTAATCATATGTTATAATAGTGTATAGGTTTTGACTTTTTTTCTAGAATAAGTTTGGACTTTTGAAATATACATTTGTTCGATGATTTTGATAGCTCATCAATTTTAGTTTCGTCCTTTCATGAGATTTTATATTTTATTTTCTTTATTTTTATAGTATTTTAACATGTGACACGTGAATTAGGGATTTTGGATGTACCAATTTTGATTTCATCCTTTTCGCGTGATCTTTCATTAAAAAAAGTGTTAAGTTATTTTAAGAATGTTTTAAAACCGTTACAAACTACTTTAAGCATGTTTTAAAACCGTTACAAACTACTTTAAGCATGTATTAAAAACCGTTACAAACTACTTTAAGCATGTTTCAAAAATCGTTACAAGCTAGTAAAAAGTTTTTTACCCAAAAATAATAGTTAAAATTAGCCAAAATTTCTGATATTAATTTTTTTTTCATAAATTAAAGTTTATGCATAATTAAAAACTACATTTTGGAAAATATTATAAATAACTTATAATACACACTAATCTATGCATTTTTTCTTTGTGTGTATAGATTAATTTAACTTTTAAGAAAACTGATTTTTTTTTTTTGTAGTATGTTTCCATAGAAATTTATACTAGTTTTTTTTTTGTCAGCAATAATAATAGTATAATATATTATCTGTTGAGTTGAATATGAAATTTTTACTAGTATAAGGCAGAAAATAGTTTCATGGTATATTCCACTGGAAAGATTTCTACTTTCCCTTTATTTATATATAATTTGTGATTATCCTAATGGGTTGGGTGGCAATGCATTTGAATTAACCATGCTTGAATAAAGATGGGGTGGTTGTGGTAGCTTGATTAATTTTACTAGTGAAAACATGACTAATCAAAACACTTAGTGTGTTAAGAACAAAATTGTAGGCAACCTTAAATGCAATGCAATCATAGTGTATCCCACTGCAGTTTAGTGTCAAGATTCTGTCTTACATTCTTCAAAATCTGCCTTAAAATAATAGTATCTCCTAATTCTCATTTTTCGTCTTATGGGAAATTCTTATTGGGATTAGAAAATGTTTCCTCTTTTTCAAAGAAAATGGAAGATTGTTGTTGTATTATGACTAGTTTTTTAAGAATATTTATTACAAAAGGTGTGTTTGTGTCCATAGGAGCGTTAAATATGGCTCTCTTTTTTCATTGGTCAGTTAAAATTATTTTACGACGTTTGTACATTAAATTGATTTATTTTTCATTTTTTATTTCACCTTAGTGATTATTATTTATTTATAATGGATTTCTGAGAGAAAGAGAAAGAGTCTTTTCTTTTCTCTTCTGAGAAACATCCCGAGTCTTCTCTCCTCTCACTCTCTCTCTAAGATCTTTCTTTTAGGGTTTCATTTCCTAGTAGTTCTGTAGCCGTAACTTTGTTTGAAAAGTTCCATTTGTATTTTAGGGAATGTATATAATAAGCCCTTAACAATAACGTTCCTTATAATTATCTTCAAAATAGTTATTATACCTTGATTATGGTGTTGAGAAAGAATTTGTGTAATATTTAATATAAAAATATTTTTAGTCGTACAAGATTATGTCATAATATACAAATTTTTTATCATAACTATATTATAAATTATATTCATATTATCTATTTTCTATAATATTTATTTTCATCTTATCAATACAATCATAAAGATTAAATCATACAAACATGATAAATTAATTATTCAAATATTAATTACCCATCAAATATTATATATCATTCATGTTACATTTGACTCTATGAATATCTTTTGAAAGATCAACATTATACTCCAAACTTAAAGATTAATATTTGTGAGTCACATCAAAAACCGATATAGCATTAGATCCTCTCTAACTACTAGTTTTCCTACTCACAAAATAGAGACTACTGACAACACTACCTATAATGTACTTCTCTTGATCTTAAGGTAAGTTATTAGGAATCTCTCATCAACTCCTCACCTACTAATACCTTGGACTACTTAACCAATACTATAAGTGAAATTTAGGATCTCGTTGAATTAACATAAACATAGAAATTATAGGAACACCACATAGTATATTTTTAGATTCACAACCACATACAATTATATATCACATTTCTTATTAGATTTAATCTCACATATACAAATATATCTTAATCAAGTCAATCGATCATTAATCACTCTTGTACTTCGATTAAATCTCAATAGACATACCTTGATATCAAGAATGTACAACAACACCATACCCTCTCATAATTCATCATACATGTTATTTTCTTACATTTATAATAATTTTGGTTTGTTTTGACTAAATACTTTAATTATGTATCTTCTAATTTGACCTCTTTTTTTTTTTTTTTTACTATAACTTTTTATCCCCAAATATCCTTTTTTATTAATTATTGTTTCACTGCATTTCTTATTTTTAGGTCTTTGATTTGAATATATGGAATATAAAATGTAAGGTTTTAAGTTATTTTTTATGACTTTTAGAAGATCAAGCATATAACATTTTAAAATTTTTATACTTGAACAAAAATTTAGTCGCATCAATTCTCTCTCCTCTTTCTTGGATGAAAAATAGTCTTATTTGTAAAATTTAAGTTGACTTAACTCCCACTTAAAAAAAATAGGCTTGTTTGAGCAAAAATTAAGTTAATATTGACTTTTGCTTGAATAAATTGTCATCTTCTTAAGCCACATTTTCTACCACCTCGCTCAAGCAACACAAGTTTCATTTAAATAAAAATGGAGCTAAGAAGAGATATTTTTCCCATTTTTCAACATTTTTCCATCCCAATATTCATCAATACAACTTATTTATATCACAAACATATAATAGGAACATCATACAACACTACACTAACATAAACATGCATTTCTACATTCAATATAATACATTAGAACATATATATTTTCTATCTAGACATATTATTATTTAAATAACTAACTCTTCTTATTTGAATAATTCTAAATCCTAGTTTCCTCAAATATACATGAAGTCCACGGTCTATATTTTGGTTTTAAAACCTTGACAATATTCTCACATAACAAAAAAATATATATCTTATTATCTAAATTTTCCCTTTAAACTTGTAAATAACCAAAATCACAAAATACTTACCCATTAAACATTCTATTTTAGTAAAATTCCTTTTTCTCATTTCAATTTTCTCTTATAGCATTTCCAGATCTAAAATCCAACGGAGTTTAAGTATTCTAAATCTTGAAACAACCTAAAAAGTACTATTCTAAAGAAAACCTAAATTTTTTTTTATAAATATTTATAAAATTTATTCAATTTAATCTTCTATTTATAAAAATTAACAAACAACTAAATATAATTATAATTATATATATACATATAAATATTACCTGATTAGATTCTTTCATACCTCAAAAAGTGTGTTGTTTATTTTTATAACAATAGTTAATTTTTATTCAGTTCATAAATACATAGACAAAATATTACATGTGAAAAGGAGTTATTATATTATATTATAATATATATATATATATATATATATATATATATATATATATATATTCAAAACATAAAAAGTGTTAAAAACTCAAAAATATGAACAGGCATACCTTTAAAAAAAAATATTTCTTATATTAAAATTGTATTAAAACAATTTTTTTTTTAAATAGACTCTCTTTTCAGTTATGAGGCAGAAATAATATACCAACCCCCTCCACAAAAGACCCTGTCTGAGTCAATCTTTCTTCCTTACATAGGTCAACCCTATTATGCTCCGCATATCATTTTGTCTCGGTGCTTTCCGGTCTTAGCAATATAAAATTATTTCGTGGAGATATAGAAGTAATTATTGTCTCAGGTGAATTCTAAATAAATTATTAAATTAAATCATATATAATGTTATTTCCACATTATAATACTATGTTTGGTAAAAAAAAACAAAGAGAAATGGAATGAATGAATGAATTAAAGAAAGATAAAGAGAGAAAGATAGATATTATTTAGTAAAAATATTATAAGTAAAAAGAAATTTTTATTTATTATTTTAATATTGTTGTAAGGCATTAAGGTAAAAAATATCAATACCCTCATGATTGCCCTGTCACTTCACACTTCCAAAATCAATTTCAAGCCATCTGGATATTGAATAGTAGAAAAAAGGCACCAACAGTAGTTTTTTGCATTGAATGTTTTGGTGACACTTCTCCCATGAATTGACCAAAAATAATATGCTTGTCCTTTCAATACTCTATCTTCATATTCCATTTTTCAACTTATATTATGATTTGTTTCGTAAAAAAATAATAATGCAATAAATTCATAAAGATAAGGTGTTTAATTAGTAGAAGAAAGATAAAAACTAATATAGTGTATTTCATTATTTTTCAAAATCACTTTTTTTGTTTTCCACAAAACATATATTTTAATTCAATTCTTTTATCTAGTTTGTTCCTCATTCTGCACCACGTGTTCTAAGCTTTAAATACTTACTATATATTGAGTAACCAAAATTTAGATGGCACTACGCTATTGCTATGCATCTAGTCATATCCTAGGCATTATTATGTCTAACCCTAAATCCTATGATGACATTCCCATTTTAGATCTTTCTCAGCCATTGCAGCCCTCTTCTCTATTCTCTCTGTATAAAGCAAGCAAAGAGTGGGGGATTTTCCACATAATCAACCATGGAATCTCCAAAGATCTTTGCAACCAGATCCAGTCACTGTCCACACACCTCTTCAGCCTTCCTTTCTCATCTTTAAAATCCTACACCCCTCATTTCATTGCCTCTCCATTCTTTGAGAGCCTCCGAGTTAATGGACCCAACTTTTATACTTCTGCTAATAGTTCTGCTGAAATTCTCTTTGACCAAAAGGACTCCAAATTCAGGTAATTAATCAATGTGTGTGCTTTGTTTCCCATTAAGCTCTCATTTTTAACTATTTTGGTTTCTCTTTCTCTCCCTCCTTCATTTTGTCTACATTAGATCATTTTTTCTATAAATACTTGTAATATACAAGTAAATTAAATCTGATTTTTTTCCCATAACTAAATCAACTTATATGTTTAAACTTTTACAGAAATTTAATGAAAGAGGTTCTATAAAAAATAAGTACATATATGAGTTGATTTTAACTTACAAGATTAGTTTGATTTTATATTGTATTTTTTTTTTTATAAATGTTTGTGAAGAAATTTATCTGAACATAATCTTGATGAGACGTTTGATTTGTTCTTTTTTGTGTCCTAAACAGTGTGATAATGAAAGAATATTGCAGCAAGATGGAAGATTTGTCTAAGAGAATTCTAAAGATTGTGTTGATGAGCATAGGGGAGGGCATTGAGAAGAAGTTTTATGATTCTGAGTTCAAGAAGTGCCAGGGTTACTTGAGAATAAACAATTACTCAGCCCCAGACGTTACAGAAGACCAAGTTGAGGGGCTTGGAATGCACACTGATATGAGTTGTATTACCATCTTATACCAAGATGAGAAAGGAGGGCTTCAGGTGAGATCAAACGAGGGAGAGTGGATAGGTATAAGCCCATCTGAAGGAACCCTAGTGGTGAACATAGGGGATATGCTGCAAGCATGGAGCAATGATAAACTAAGGTCCTCAGAACACAGAGTTCTTTTGAAGCATCATTTGAACCGGTTTTCTCTAGCATTCTTTTGGTGCTTTGAAAATGATAAGGTGATTTTGGCACCAGATGAAGTTGTTGGAGAAGGAAACAAGAGAAAGTATAAACCATTTGTGTGCTTGGAATATTTGAAATTTAGAGAGAACAATGAAAAGGGAAGATTCGATAAGGTGGGTTTCACAGTCAGAGACTTTGCTGGGATCGAGGCTCAATTGTAACATATCGTTGCAGAAGTTGTAATATATGTTCATATGAAAAAATGTCATATCTACAGTAAGGTTTGGCGTAAGAATATTGTGTAATTTTTGTTCATTAGAAACTAAAATTGTTAGTGCAATATCATGATTGTTCTGATATACTGATAGATATATATCATAGTGTAAACCCACCATGTTTACACTAATTACTTAATTAGGTAATGGGTTTGACAAATGGAAACCATGTAAGGCTAATATGTATCTTGTTGGTGTTAGTATATGAAATTTCACAATTCTTCATCATCCGGGTGAATCATGCAGAAAATAATAGATGCTTGTTACGTTGGACTGTGCTAGTCACTTTATATTCATATATTTAGTTGATGTTTTGAGTTTGTAGTTTCCACTGTTCTCTTTGTGAAATGAAAAGGAATATGCAATCTGATGTTTAGAGGAGGTAGCTGTATAAAAATGTTTTATATTATAAAGTAAAATACAAATAAAGTCACATTATTTTTATTAAAAAAATTAAAAATCACAAAAAAATAAGCTTTCTTTATATTCTTGTGATTTTTGTGTGATGTTGATACCATTTATTGAGTATGTAATAGTTTATTCTAAAAATGACAAACTACATGTGGGTACTGTATGGTTGAAGTTGGAAAAATAGTTAAATCCCACCATGTTATTGAAAAATACTAGTACATAGCAATAACGAACCCTACTTAATGCTAAGATTATTTAATCTTTGTTCCACTTTCCACCAAAAAAAATCTGTGTGCTTCTCTTAATTCATTATTGGGTTGATCATGCAAACCTGCGAGCTCTTGGTTTCATTTTTTAGTTTTTAAAAATTAAAAATCTTGTTTTGATAATTATCTTGTTGAAAACTCAAATATGAATTTGAAGTTTCACATTGGGTAAAAATGGGAAAGTTGAGTAACTTATAAGTAAGAAAGATTTATAATCTATTGTCTTAAGGTTTTGGGTTGAATGTGGTGTTATATTCTCTTTTATAATTGACTCATGATCCATTTGTGAGAATCTCTCTACTGTTAGTCCCCTTGGAAATACCTAACAGTGGTATTAGAGCTGATAGTTCGTCCAGTGACGACCGACTCAGTTGAGTATATTGGAAATACCTAACAGTGGTATTAGAGCTGATAGTTCGTCCAGTGACGACCGACTCAGTTGAGTATATTGTAAATACCTAACAGTGGTATTAGAGCTGATAGTTCGTCCAGTGACGACCGACTCAATTGAGTATAATAGGTGAAAGGTCCTTATGTCGAAAGTCTTCCTGACAAGGGTTTCAGACAAGCGAGTCCCGTTAAGTTGAACGACGATACAAGTGAGGTCATCACTAGGTACTCATGGCTAAAAAATGTTTCCGCTCAAGGGGGAGGTATACCAACGTGAAAGGGAATCACACTTGAAGGGGAGATGTTGAGAATTCAAGTGTGAGTTTGAAGTCTCACATTGAGTAAGAAATTAACTGGAATCTCATTTATCAGATTTCATTGTGAAATACACAATGGAATCTGATGAATTCGCCATAATATATCTGACTCATGCATAATATCATGAAAAATGAATACAATTTTTTTGCTGCTACTTAGTACCAACAATAGGTCTGAAAAAGTATATAAAAATATAAAATTTAGATATTTATATCCCATCGAAGTAAGGAACCATGGTATATATGTTTGGAATAGATTTTATTTTGAGAGAGTTGAAAAAACACTATCTTGTTGAAAGGTTTTATACATCTGACCTTTCTTAAGGCATTTTTGTAGACAAGAACTCTATTTTTTCCCTTTTTTTGGATGGTAAATATTTCTCAAGAAATGAAGTGTGAATCCAACCCATGTTTGAATTAAAATTGAGATACTGATGCAAGTTCTTCCATTATGAATTAGGTATATTTATATCTGAAAGAGGTTGACAATAAGTTTTTTCAAAATGGACTATTTGTCCCTTTGTTAGAGGTGTTTCAGAAATGTCGGTGATCGAGTAAATAGTTCCAAGAATGAATGGATCGTATCGAATTAGAAAATGAAAATATTTATATAAGTTATACCCTTCGTCACCACTTTGCAGAAATTGTTAGGTATCAATATGTTAGATATCGATAACTCGATTAGTGAAATAATATCTCTCTTCAAAAAAACATGTCTTTTTTCAGTAGAATGACGTTCCTGCTAAGGCTGTATATCTTTTTTCAGTCTACTCAAGTCTACACCATTAGGACCTGTTAGAGGTTCTAACCAAGGAGCACACAAATTCCAAAAACTCGCATAGTTTCTCCCCAAAAATCACTTCTTCAGTCGAGGAACGCAGTAGATATTTACCTAAACCTATAGGTCCTTGAGTATATCCTACATTAACTCCAAGATGTTGGTCTCTAACTAGAAAAGTAAATGTTTGAGCTTGAGAATCTTATGGACCAATGGGCCCATAAAACTCACTAGGATAAGCAGTATTATTACACCAGACAAAGCAACAAGCAACAAAACCAAAAACAGACAAAACACCTAAACTATAAGATAAGTAAGCTTCTTTAGACCATACAAGTGTTAGGTATCAGACAAAATCATAAGCACACACAACTAAAATAAAAAGATGAGAAAAACACCGACAATAGGCAAAAGAGTAATTTCACTAATAAAAGAAATTATATCAATTCTCTCTCTACCTCCAAGGAGGAAATGATAACACCCTCTCTTGAAAATAAAGGAAAAACAACTCTAAAAGAACCTAAAAGGAGAAACTATTTTTCTCCCTTAATTTATCTCTCAAGTACTAAAACAACAAGAGAAAGAAAAGGAAGTGATTTTGATGTGTTTTACAAGGTAAACCTTGTGCTTCTTTTATAGTAAGAAAATTAAGTACCAAAGTAAGATTTGTCTGATGTGAGACTTCTCTTGTCATAATCTCTCACTTAAAGATTTTGATTAAAATTAATCAGTTTTCACACCATGCTTGTTTTATTCTTGTCATCCATGTTGCTTATTTTTCTGCTAGGTCATAATAGGATCGATTCTATACAAACTTGTCAACATTAACCGGCTTTGTCATAAAATCTACTAGGTTCTCATCTGTGTGAATTTTTTGCATATCTACACTACCTTCTTCCATACTTCCTGAACAAAATGACATCTTATTCCTATGTGTTTTGTCCTGGAATGAAAAGTTAGACTCCTTGCAATGTGCAAGACACTTTGACTGTCACAATACACAACAATTTGTTATTGCTTATGCCCGAGTTTCTCCATTATCTTCCTAATCCAAATAGCTTCCTTACATGTCTAGGTGGCTGCCATGTACTCATGTTTTGTGGTAGACAGAGCTACAACATCCTGTAACTTGGATAACCAACTTACTGTCTCTCCTGCAACTGTAAACACATAACCAGTAGTAGATCTCCTTTTATCCAGATCACCTGCAAAATTTGAATCAACATAGTCTCTGACAATTAGTTCTAATCTTCCATAACATAATACAACACCTGAGGTTCCTTTGATGTATCTAAGGATCCTCTTTATAGCACTTCAATGCTCTCCACCAAGATTTTCCATGAATCTACTAACTACTCTCACTGCTTGTACAATGTTTGGTCTTGTACAAATCATGGCATACATAAGACTTCCCATTGTTGATGCATATGGTACTCGAGACATTTTCATCCTCTCCACTTCATTACTAGGACTCATACTTGAGGATAACTTACAATTGATAGGAAGTGGGGTGGAAATTAGCTTACAATCTTGCATGTTGAAGCGCCGTAAGATTTTCAGTAAGTAATTATTCTGAGAAAGCCAAACCTTTCTATCTTTTCTGTCTCTGTGAATTTGCATCCCTAAAATCTTGTTTGCTGGTCCCAAGTCCTTCATGTCAAACTCCCTAGTCAATTGTGTCTTTAACTCTTAGATTCGATCTATGTTGGGGCCTACTACCAAATGTCATCCACATACAACAAGATAAAATCATTATCACCAAACTTATTGTAATATATATAATGATCTGAGCTCAGTCTATTGTAACCAAGGCAAATAATGAAGGAATCAAATCTCGTATACCAGTATGTGGGTGTTTACTTTAGACCGTATAAAGATTTGGTCAACCTGCAAACCAAGTTTTCTTCTTCTTTAAAGTCTTCTAGTTGGAGCATATAAATTTCCTGTTCAAGATCTCCATGAAGAAAAATAGTCTTTACATCCAATTGTTTAAGATGTAAATCAAATGTAGCACACATAATCAGGATAACTCTGATAGACGTCAATCTGACAATCAGCGAGAATATCTCATTAAAATCAATACCTTTTTTCTGAGTATATCTCTTTACCACCAATCTAGCACAATATCTTTCTACTTGATCATTGTCATCTCTCTTGATCTTATAGACCCATTTGCAACCAATGACTTTTTAACCTTTCAGAAGTTTCACAAGATTCCATGTCTTATTTTTATGAAGAGTCTCAATTGCAGTCATCCACAGAGAAACATCTGAACAACTCATAGTCTCTTAAAAAGTTGAAGGTTCTTGTTCTTCATTTAGAAGACAATACAGATCATGACTTTTCATCACATATTATGAATGTTAAGATGGTCTGACTTTTTCTCATGTTGATCGCCGGGGATCTCCGTTACCAACCTCATTTGCCTCTTGATCTTCGTGTTCCTCCTCTGACTTAGATGAGTCATCCAAATACTTCTTCTCTATTTGTATTATAACTTTGTCCTTTATCAAGCTGTCATTTGTTTGCTCACTTTGCAGTTTATTTTCTGCAAAGACTACATCTCTGCTAACAACAACCTTGTGGAAAGTGGGATCGCACAGGTGATACCCCTTCACATTGTCAGTATAGCCCAAGAAGATATATTTCTTGGATTTTGGATCCAATTTTGTTCTTTCTTAAGTATTGTACGTCATGTACACATGACAGTCAAAAACATGTAAGGATGAATGATGGGTTGTATTTATGCACCCACTTTTCATCCTAACTTTAATTAATTAGCAA